TTTCCTGCATTGTGAACCCATTACTGACTTCCTTATTATTCCACATATAACTGTCTCCTCCTTTCAGTTGAAAGGTCTCTTTGAGTGAGAAAGTGAGCCCATTTACTTAAATTTTTATATTATTTTGAGGATATAGCATAGTGTTCTCACATGATATATGTTCAATATATGTTAAAGCAGTATGTCAAATTTACCCTGAAGAGGAACAATACTGCTGACTTTTTTATGCATTCAAGTCTGCATGTGGACCCATCCTCTTTTCCCTAATTTGAATGTCAGAACAGTGTGTGTCCATGTATTTCCGTGACAAGTTTTCCAAGAACTTTGTCAGGGTGAGCGCCCAAAGGATGGGTTTTGACTGACATAAAATATCAATAACCTGAGTTCAAATATGAATAAATACCAAAAGTAAGAAAATACCTACTTAAAAAAAATAATTATTATGTATTTGTCTAAAAATTGCACTTTTGCTTCTTACTTCCTATGTAGAGACAAGGAGCCCTGGTGGTGTAGTGGTTAAGAGTTTGGCTGCTAACCAAAAGGTTGGCAGTTTGAATCCACCAGGCGCTCCTTGAAAACCCTATGGGGCAGTTCTACCATACCCTACAGGGTCCCTATGAGTTGGAGTCGACTTGACAGTAACAGGTTAGGTTTGTTTGGTTTGTATGCAGAGACAATAAACTTTAAAGTAATTAATAAGATGAATCATGGCATCTTGAACACAATAAGTGTTTAGCAAATATTTGTTAACAATACTGATGACTTTATGTCTTAAAAAAATAAACACTAGAACTACAGACGAACACTAAGTCAAATGGTCTATTTTGCTATCCTGTGTCTTGCTTTTTGGTTTATTTTGAAGATGACATTTAAAAACTAGATATTGCAAATAGACAATAATCCTGTAGAACTTGCAGTACATTTTCACTTTTTTCTCATGCAGAAAATAGTTTCTCCTCTTTTTTTTTTAAATTTTGTTTAATGCAAGTAGTTTCTACACTACAGAAGGATCTATGTTTTAATTTAAAGAATAAAATTAACATTTTTATTGACTGCTATCATTTGCAAAACACAGTAAGCATAAGCCATTGACAGCCATCAGTTAATGTATGGATCAATCTTGCTTGGTGGAACTCATTTACTGAAGAAGAAATGAGCAGTGCTGATCAAATTACAAAGAGGGCGATCATTTGTCTTGAACTTTTTAGCACGTCTGGGATATTCAATAAATTGTGTTCTGTCACTAAAGTTCTATTACAGAGCATTTGAATTTCAGAATAATGTAAGGACTTTAATGTTGTTTTGACTCACTTTTTCAATTGACTCTGTTAAAAAGAATAATCCACACTAATTATCTTGTCAGAGAGTGTCACAGCTCTAAATATTAAGAAAAACCTGAGAGTTCAGGTCTTTAATATTATCTACTAAAAACGAATTCTCAGAAATAAAGAAAAAAGTAGTGTTCCTCACCCTACCAGCAGGGGATGTTCACTTCCCATGTTACTGTTCGTTATCAAACAAAGAATAGTTGTATTAATATTAATGTTCTCTAATCCCAAAAACATGCAGCTGAGTTAAATTTTTATATGACAATATAATCAGTGAAAGTCTAAAATAGCTTAAATAAAAAGAAATGTGAAAGAATGTGGCATCTATCTGAAATTTAGGAGATAAGTTTTGGTTGCCATAAATAGACTTAATATGGAAAGAATTGCTACAAATTATTTAGGTGAAAGGCTTACTGGTTTGTATTAAGTTTTTTGTTGCTTCAAGTTATAATCGGATACCCAATGCTAGCATATTCCCAATTGTTAGAAATATTTTAATGTCTTTTAACATTGATTGCATGTGGTACTGTATCAGCTGTATAATTAGAGTATATACGTAAAGACAATGCATAATTATCAATCTTATAAATCCTAATGGAAAATCTGACTGTCAAACTAGTGTCTTACAAACAATTCTGTGATGGCCTCTATCAGTCATTCAAGATGAGATACCTGAGAAGTCCAGCTAGAATAAAGAAATCAGATTTTTAAAATACACATTAAATTACATGATTAAAAAATCTATTTTCCTTATTAAAGATAGCAATATAATATTTATAACATAAATGTATGAAATTAATAATATGCATTTATTAATATTCCATTTATATATATTTCCTTAATAAATATATTTCAGGATGAACTCCTTTTATCCTTAAAACAATCACAACAATCATGACCAAAATCAACACATATGTATTGTGTTTAGTGCTCTTAGGAACACTATAATGGCCAGCATCATCTCTACCCTTTAGGGTGGACAGAGAATGTGATAATTGAAGCAACTTTTTGGCTTTTCTAATTACTTAGTTTATTTAGTTTACAATAAATTTAGCATTGTGGCTTACCCCGCTATGAGTTGTGGACTCTTTTAGCCATGCTGTTTTTATGCTCATCTAAATGGTACATGCACATTTAATCTTTAGCCCTAATGAGAATTAATGTCCTTGTTTTCTAATCCTAGCTGCTTTGCTGTTTAAGCCTCTCTCAGTTTCTGTATCTTTCTGGGAATGACATCCTTTATAAAGAACTTATAGTACCAATGAAGTTTGACATTTCACCATGAATTTGATTTGTACTGTTTTTATATTTCATTTACTTTGGGTATTAGTTCGGGGAAAGAGAAATGGAATCTAAAAAGCATTTTTTTCACATATCTTACTCATTTGCCATACCTATTTTCAAAAGATATTTGTCATTCCATAATTTTATTTCAGTAAATCTAATTTGATTCTAATATTTCTATAATTCAAAGCCTTTGAAAATTTTCTTTGATATTCATATATACCAACAAAATATTGTTTTTATTCCAATTAATAATTTACTTGCTATTTTCAAGGGTATATCTTTAGGAATATCTAGTTGAAATGCTTATTTACGACTGTAACATTGATAAGTATGGCATTTAATTTTAAATTACTTTTTAAATAACCTAAATTTCCTTTATCTTTACTCTTTTTAGAATGTAATAGTGCATAAACAAAAGTACTGTTCTTATCTTTTGGTTGCTTTTTCCTATACATGTTCTCTTACTATAATAAGTTTTTAAGTTTTATTTTAGTTTTTAAGGACTTGAGAGACTGGTTATAACAAAATCCAGTAGAAATTAATTCAGTAAATGTCTTACTAAAATATAGATATATTACATTTATAGCATTCATTCTATTTAGTAGATTTGTGGTTTTATTAAACTATATCAATTATTTAAAAATGTTTACATTTTCTACATATACTAATGTGTTTGTCTTCCAGAACTGATTTTTTTTTTTAATTAAAAGAATACAAGTGTTAAGTGATTCATATTTCAAGTATACAAGAAAATACAACAGGGAATTAACTACTTAAAAAGAATATTAGGGACATTTGATAGTGAATTATTTGTGTTTAATAAAAACACATGTCTGTAAAATGAGCATTTACTTTACAAGTTATTTAGCTACCTGGGAGTTCTTTGATATCTCTTCAATAGAGAAGAGCATCACAGGTTATTGACCATTTTTTCTGTTCAATTCCTTAACCACATCCTGACATTCCTGCTTCTAACTTTTTTTTTCTGATTTTCCAGCTCTGAGGAGTCTCCAGCTCCATCCTTACTTGTGCATGTTCCATAGGCACTGATCAGGCCTCACTTTCCCTTGAAGTCTGATTCCTCTATTTTCTACTGCATCATCTGACTGTATCCCCTCTCTAATTAGTTAGCCTTAATCTGCATTAAGAACTAGTCCACCTATGAATAATATTTATAAACGTACATTTGAAGTTCATGACAGCCTGGTCTAGTCAATGGTTGTTCTCTTACTATATTCATGTGCTGTGGTCAGGTTTAATAAAGGATTGTGGTCAAATCTATCTTTTAATAGAGATATTTCTACCAAGGGGAAGTTTATTTTAATGTTAATGGAGTTCAGACCAGCTTGGATTTGCCAAGGAAGCAGATTCATCCTCCTTGGACACGCAGTCCTCTGAGCCCAACCCTGGAAGTAGTGCAATGTCCCTGGGCAACACACAGGTTCTGCCAAGACTCTGACAACATAAAGTAATTCCTCCACTGCATCCTCCTTCTAAATGCATTAAGACATTCAAGGACAATACATTAAGTCACCTGCACCTGAGCATGGATCAATTTATAAGAATGCTTTTCTCTGAAAGGAATGGCTGAGGTTGTATGTGATGCGTGTGAGGGTACCTTAAAACTGAGGTGCTTGGCGTGATTAAAAATGACTGACCCAAATCTGAATCAAAGCTCCATTTTTCTTGAATTAAACTTTAGTTTGTCTTAAGTCCTCTTTTCTGCCTTTCTAAAATTAGAGTCTGTGATTTAGAGTCTAGTGATTTCTTGTAAAACTTTAAGCATCCTCAGCAAACAATGGAGGAGGCAAGACTATGGTTTATGAAGAAATGTTTGTCAAGAAATATTTATCCAGATGGGAGAATGTTTGTGCAGCATGCACCAGGAAAAATGCACGTGTAGATAATTTGGAAAATCGCTTACTAGATTGCCTCCAAGAAGTCTATGTTAGCCTACCTTAAAAATTTTAACTTACTATTGTCTTGTAACTATACCTCACCCCAAGCCCCCATGATTGTGGTCACATACTCCCTTCCCCACATTTCTGTATTAAAAGCTTGCCTCTCTCTCAGAATGTTGGAACACTTTGTAATCTCACATTGCACTGTATTTGTTCAGCCTGGCTGTTTCTATTCCCCAAATAAATCTCTTTGCTTTTATTTTCAACAGTATGTAAGTTCTGTTCAGTGTTACAACAGATGTATGAGCAAGAAGCAGAAGGAGAATGCTAAGAAAAGTGTAGCATGTAAAGAGAAAAAAGAGGAGGACCGAAAATTAACTTCAGTGACCTTATGTATTTCTGAATACATATATATGTGTGTATATATATATCATTAATTGTTTTTTCATTACTAAGCAATGATCACAACAATGACAATCTTTACCTCAAATCTTGGTATGTATAAACAGGTTGAGCCAAAGCCAGGTTCATTTTCTATGCATATTCCTTGAGTACATGAATTGGGAATGCACTCATCAAGTTCTCTCTCACAGTGATGTCCTGACCATCCTGTTAAACAAAATAACAAAGCTGCTATTCCATTGTATAATAAAAATAACAAAGAAAATAATAATAGCTTATATTTTTGGCTTTTATTATTTGCTATAATGATGTTAAATGTTTTATATAAATTACCTCAGTTTCTCTTCATAAGTGTTCTATCAGTTAGCTCCTATTACTATCTGCATTTAATAGATGAGAAAATTAATTCAGAGAAGACAAATAATTTTCCCTGATATCACAGTTATGTGGAAATGGAATCTAGTAATGTAAAAACAGAAAGTTTAGGTTTTTACACATAGTGGCATTCTACATTGCACATGCAAATGTCTTTACATAGCTTACCTTGGAATACATACATTGAAGGTAATAGAATAAACACACTCCATAATTCTAATGAAATATGAATCTTAAATTAGAAGGAAAGAAACCTCTATAGATTTGTAGATATCCATTGTTTTCTTGTAATACTTGTAGTACTTTATACTTAGTATTTCTTAAGCTGTCATGCATACAACATCTTATGTTTATGTTCAGCTGACCATTGGCTATAAGAATTCTCCTTAAACAATACAATCTAATTTTCCACACCAAAATATTCTTTATATGTATGTGTGTTTGTGTATGGTATATTCCGTTTGCCTTTTATCAACATTTCATTATTTTCATCACCAGCCTACTGCCAACATTGCTAAGCTCTCCACAAGTTAATATCTCAGTTACGATTTATTATGTATATATTTTGGAACACTTTTGCAAATCATTGGTTCTATTCTATAAGCAACTATTTATAATGGATCTTAATATATTTAAGAGCTTGTTAACTGCAGTATAATATTAACATTGTCTATAGAGACAATATGTACTTAAAGGCAGCTGTCACCACTCACTGATTAACAATACCTACTATGATTAAAACTTTTTAAACCATTCTTTGTTTTTCTATGTACGATCCAACAGCATTAAACTGAACTCTAGTTATGAAGAAAGTCAAAGTCTTATTCTGGCCCCTACTTGGCATGTATTTCTCATTGCTCTTTCCTAATAAATTACAAAAGAACAATTAAATAAGTATTTTGGGTTAGAAATTATTTAATGCAACATTGAATTATAAAAAGAAAGATGAGCCCCATGAAGTGTAAAAGATGTGGCAGAATATTCATAAGTAGGTTGATTACTTTTATTAACTACTTGTCCAAGAATCTTTCCACTTTGCAATGCTCTTTCATGTGCTGAAGTGATTCTGTAGGGATAGCTACTATGGAGACTAGAAAAGGTGATGATACACAAAAGAATAGTATTTGGCAGGGCTTATAAAAAGCTACTACTACCAGTCACTTAAAGAGTGGAATCTCATGAATATATTGTTGAAAATAAAAGCATATTCCATAAAATACTTATATTCTGATAACTATTCTTATAAAAATTAAGTACATACAGTATTTAATAACATTGTTTAGATAAGCATACATATATAATAAAACTCTAAGGATCATCAAGGGAGTGTTTAAGACAAAATGTAAAATAGTCATCACAGGGTATTAAAATGCTCAGGAGGGATATAGAGGAGGCTAGAATTATTGTTACTATTCTATTCCTAGAAACAAATTGTGGGTACATAAATGTTCATTACATCACTTCTTACATAATAAAAATGCATTGTATATTCTTTTGATTGAATGAAATGTTTCATAATATACTTTATACAATTAAAATAATAAATGTAGTTTTCCACTTGTTATAATACTATAAAGGACACTACAAAGCTTTAAATCATAGGATGGAAAACAATAAACTAGGATAGAAAATAAGTTAGTCTGTGTTCAACAAAGGAAAAACAAATTATTCTAGGTATTTAAGCAAAAATAAAGCCTTACTAACAGGGAATTAGTTAAAAGTTACTGGAAAAAAAGAACTGTGGGAGAAACTCCAAGAACTACAGACAGGACTCTGAGATGAGCTCCCTAAACCATGAGGAGGAAGTTAAGAAACGTAAAAGTCATCATTAGGATTATTGAGATCAAGAACCCATTGTGCTAATCCAGGGTTCAGGGAGTTGCCACTACAGCTACAGCAGCTTCTTGTCCTCACATTGATGGTAGTGAGTGAACCCTTGAGTGCAGAGTCTGGCTGCCACTCCTGCTGGTTCTGCCCTTTAATAAATACAAAGCCAGTGACCAGAGAGTGAAAACCTGCTGTAGAAAATGCCTATCTCCATGGTCTTTTTTACCAGATGAAACTACTAAGACAGCCAGAAATGGCACCCGTCAGATCCTCCAGATGCCATGTTACGGGTAGAGTCCAATTCATATGCACAATCATATCTTCAAGGGAGACTAGAAAGTATAGTTTTAAATTTTCTTGCTTCTGTAGTACAAGGACAATAGATAAGAATAGATGCTGAGCACCGATAAATAATATCCATCAAAAATAAATAAATATATAAATAAGATAAATGTCCTTGTGCTGGTGTTGGCAAGGAGATGGTAAAAATACGAGAACAGAATATGAAGGCACAAGCCAGCCAAATGAAAATCCAGTGGGTGAGATGGGAGAGGGGGGAGTCCAGAAGTAGAGATAATGCAAAATATACTATCCTTTGGTTCCCCTGTAGCTTTGATGCCCATTTAATGAGGTAACAAAATGTTCAGAAAATACTGTTCAATAATTTAAAGCAAGAAACCAAAAGTTCTCATTAGCAATTCAGAAAAAGTGACCAAATCATTGTAGTATTAAATTAGTATTACCAGTATATTATCTGATACTTAAGAGAAAAGAAATAAATGCTTGCAGAATAAATGATGCCAAATGATGTGGATGTAATATAAAGAAATCTTTAGATGGCACACTGTAATGAAAATAAGAAAAAATGGAAGTAATTTTCTAGTCAGTGAACAAAGCAAAATCTTGACACTGGCCACTGTTAATACCAGCTTTCTATGCTATAACATAGCTGTTTTAATAGTTTCAGTTTCTCAGTGAAAACAGATCACTATTTCAAAGATTTATATATCTTGCTTTCTTTTCATTTTCTCTCTCAGCTCCCTAAGATTTGCATCTAATTTGAGAAAAATAAAATAAAATTACTCCTCCACCAGAAATAACTCTGTTTTAATAGTTACTTTATTATCTAGGGATTGGATAGTGTAAATTAAAATTATTTTCTTAGTCTAACTCTAGTATATGTACAACTATTGACTTTGACATCTAAATTTTCATGAAAACATTGCAGTATACATTCTTTGATATTTGATATTAAAGATTATTATACTTCTCATGGGTCTTGATCAAAAAGAAAGATCATTTTGCATCTTTTCTGTCCTAAATACAATAGTTCCATCCCTGACTTAATAATTGTGAGCACTTGTGGCAGATATTATGTGTTGTTCTCTGTTCCCTTGCCCAAAGGACAATGCAGCATTTCTGCTTCAAAATGAATAATGCTATTTTAAGAGCAAAATGTGTATCTTCAGTTTACATTATCACCTACAAAAACCTTATTGCACCACTCCTGAGTATAAAAGATATCTGGGCACAGTGATTGCCCCAGGGACTGAGAACCAATCTGGGTGAAACTTTCACATTTGCAATGCAGACATTGTTCTTCACTTTCAATTTGCTCATAAGGGGGGTCTTAGTTATCTAGTGCTGCTAACAGAAATACCACAAGTGGATGGCTTTAACAAACAGAAATTTATTTTCTCTTAGTTTAGGAGCCTGTTGTGTTGTCAGGGTCGTCGAGTTGGTTCCCATTCATAACGACCCTATGTACAACAGAATGAAACACTGCCCGGTTCTGTGCCATCCTCATGATTGTTGTTATGCTTGAGCCCATTGTTGCAGCCACTGTGTCCATCCATATCCTTGAAGGGCTTCCTCTTTTGTGCGTTCCTCTAGTCTACCAAGCATGATGTCCTTTCTCAGGGACTGGTGCCTCCTGATAAAAAGTCCATAGTATGCAAGATGAAGTCTCACCATCCTTGCTTCTAAGGAGCATTCTGGCTGTACTTCTAAGAGAGATTTGTTCGTTCTTCTGGCAGTCCATAGTATATTCAATATTCTTCACCAATACCATAATTCAAAGGCATCAATTCTTCTTCGGTCTTTCTTATCCGTTGTCCAACCTTCACATTCGTATGGGGCGATTGAAAACACTATGGCTTGGGTCAGGCACACCTAAGTCCTTAAAGTGACAGCTTTGCTTTTTAACACTTTATAGAGGTCTTTTGCAGCAGATTTGCCCGGTGCAATGTGTCGTTTGATTTCTTGACTGCTGCTTCCATGGGAGTTGATTGTGGACCCAAGTAAAATGAAATCCTTGGTAACTTCACTCTTTTGTCCATTCATCATGATGCTGCTTACTGGTCCAGTCGTGAGGATTTTTGTTTTCTTCATGTTGAGGTGTAATCTATACTAGATGTCCAAATTCAGAGCGGAGACTCTAGGGGAAGGCTTTCTCTCTCTGTCGGCTCTGGAGGAAGGTCCTTGTCTCTTCAGCTTCTGCTTCCTGGTTCCTTGGAGATCTTCACGTGTCTTGGCATCTATCTTAACTCACCTCCGTTTGCCTGTTTAATCTCTATTACATCTGTCTTAGTCATCTAGTGCTGCTATAACAGAAATACCACAAGTGGATGGCTTTAACAAAGAGAAATTTATTTTCCACAGGCCAGTAGGCTAGAAATCCAAATTCAGGGCATCATCTCCAGGGGAAGGCTTTCTCTCTCTGTCGGCTCTGAAGGAAGGTCTTTCTCATCAATCTTCCTCTGGTCAAGGAGCTTCTCAGCACAAGAACCTCGGGTCCAAAGGATGCACTCTGCTCCTGGTGTTGCATTCTTGGTGGTATGAGGTTCCCCACTCCCTGCTTGCTACCTTTCGTTTTAACTCTTGTAAGATAAAAGGTGGTGCAGGGTGCACCCCAGAGAAACTCTTTTTACATTAGATCAGGGAAATGACCTTAGTAAGGGTGTTACAATCCCACCGTAATCCTCTTTAACATAAAATTACGATCA